TGTGTGTGTGTGTGTGTTCTTGTGTGTGTCTGTATGTTCGTTCCTGTGTGTGTGTGAGAGAGAGGGGCGGGTACCACACCTCGTGGCTCCTCCTCCACGGGGCCCCGGTGCCTCTCTGCTCCAATAGAATCACGTGGGACCTGCGGGATCCTCCAATCACACCGGGGCTCCGGGCGGGGGGGCGGCGGCAGCAGCGGGGCCAGGGGCGGGGAGTCCGGTCCGGGAGCAGGAGGCAGGAGAACTTCCACAGTGTCCACGGTCCTCCACGGGGAAACTCCGCAAAACATCTGGCTCCTTCCTCTTCCTCCTCCGCTTCCTCCTCCTCCTCCTCCTCCATGTGTTCAACTCGGACACTGTAGAGACGTTACCGGGGAAGACAGCAGCGGTGCTCCGGGGCCGTGCGGAGGTAGTTACCGGGGTGTGGAAGCCTCGCAGCGCCGGGACGGGACGGGACGGTTCTCCGCGATGGAGACCACGAAGTGAACGTCTCTGTTGTTCCCTCGCCTCCTCTCTGGATTTACTCCCCCCCCCCCTCCCCCCCTCGGTTTCCCGGTGATTTTTTGATCGGTGCCACTTCTAAACAAAATGCCCGGAAAGACCAAATACAACCTGGTGGATGACGGACACGACCTGAGGATCCCGCTGCACAACGAGGAAGCGTTTCAACACGGGATCAACTTCGAGGCGAAGGTGGGTTCAAACTTTTCACATCAGCCTCTCCACGTTTATACCACCTGAGAAACCGATCACTGACTTTTATTAGTTTAACTGTCTCCCGGTGGGAATGATTCACTTTCAAATATAAGTTATTGCTTTATTCTTACATGTGTATATCACGATAATTACAGCCTACCTTCTAAAAAAAACCCCCAATATATTATTATTATTATTATAATATTCCACCAAACACATGTGAAACTACAGTTCTGTCTGTCATCATGTTGTCATTCAAATGATTAGAACAGGGGCGGATCTAGGATTTTTCCTGGGGTCAAATATAAGTCAAACAACCTGTGCACAGTTCCTGATGCAGGCAGGTGGACATTTAAGTCACATTATTAAGTTCTTATTCAAGTACATTGTGTTTGAGACACAAACTTTCAACAAATCGTCATATTTATTGTAAGTAAGGACAGGGGCACGTCAGGGGCCAATCAGATTCCACCTGCCCCCCTGGATCCGACCCTGATTGGTCAACATCTAGGATACGTGGTAAAAATTTTGCAAAGTAATGAGGTTAATTGTGTAATTGTGCTGTTTCACCCTCCTCACAACAGTACATCGGCAGTCTCGATGTGGCGCGGCCGGGCAGCCGGGTGGAGATTGTGGCTGCAATGAGGAGAATACGGGTGAGTGGACGCTCGGTTAAACTATTATTATTGCAAATTCTTCTTGGCCCCCGTCTGTCAGACTGCTGGGACCTGCCGTGTTCCAGGGTTAACTGCAGGGGAATGTTATATCACAGCAAAATGTATCTGGAAAACATCAAGCTTTTCAAGTGGGTTGAGTTTCCAACCTGGTGAAGTTCATGTAGATGGAAGACTGTGGGAACATGAGCCAAATATGTGGATCTAAATATCTTACCTATCACTTTCCTTGTTTGGTCCAGATCTTCAGACTTTTTTCAGTTTGGTCTGATCCAAAATATCAGGTGTGAAAAGTTCCTTGGAAAAGTCTGGATCCATTTTTTTTTTTTAAGATATTTCGATGACAGGAACTCGAGACACATTTATCCCGCGGGCTCACTCTGATATTTTCTGGATATTTAACAGGGGGGGCTGGCAGGAAAAAGTTCAGGAGACTGAGCAGAGCAGCTCACTCTGACATGCGCGTCGTCACAAACAGCCCCTCTGGATAATTTAAGGAGAACATCTGGAGTTCGGTGGTTATCTAAAAATCACTTTGTTGACCTTTCCCACCAAGAGGAGGCGTAAACCAACGACCAGACAGGATGGATAACACGGTGTTTTTATTTAGTCATCGCTGGTGTGTTGGTTATGAAAGATTCTCAGAGTTAAAGTGTGCAGACTTTGTTCTGTCTCTGAATCAGGTTTTCCAGAGGGAGGTTTTGGTTTCTCTCCCATGTGGTCCGTCACTGTTTTGAAGTTCCCTTTGAGGTAAAGCATTGGAGTGTGATCTCTCTCCCCCTCCTCACTCCCTCTCTCTCTCTCTCACTCATTCACTGTGTAAACCTAAGATTTACAGCTTCTTTTTCTCCGGCTCCAGAAAGTAAACTTCATCTTCATCAGTGACTCTGCCAGCTCGGCAGCAGTTGGTTTAGCAACCTATCAAAGGCTGTGGACGGGGTTTGGAGGTATTTAAGGATCGTGGTGATGAACTGGTTGGTGTGCCGCCGTGTTAAATAGAAGATCCCATTGAAAACCATGTGCAGCAGCACACATTTAATTCATATGTTCTCCCTAATAATACTTAACTAGTTCATAAGTTCAATTTAAAAAAACAAAACAAGAGAGTAAAATATAGCTTTTAAGGGATTGATGCACAATCATTTCACTTTTCCTTAACTTTTCTTTTAAATACCAGCCATGGATTATTTCACTTTTCAAAGCCTGTGTCTGGATGTTCTGCTAAAAGTTCCCTCACATTCAGATCCTGTGTCCGTGCACACGTTGAGCAAAAGGTGCAAACTGTTCTTATTGCCCTTTGCAGAGGAGTGACCGGCTCCTATAAAGTGGACCTCCCAGTGTGCTGCCATGGCAGCTGCTGTTGTTGCTGGCGGGAGAAGAGGCTTTGGTTTGGCTCCTCCAGTGTGAAAATGGTTTGACACTGGCCTGACAACACAATCGAGGGAAACCACGGGTATCTCAGCTGGAAGGGAGGTCACACTGGGAAGCATGGGGACCGCTGGAGCTGCTCTGGAGGCATTTGTTTTACTTGGGTAGAAAGTGAGCTGAAGCAAACGCCTCTAAATGTTGGTTTGAGAAAAGAAGAGCAAATAAAACTGTGCTGGTGTTTTAGCAAATTTGAGTTGGATACCATGTTTTTTCAGAGTCTCGCTCTCCTGGTGTAAACCCTTTGTCTCTGTAGCACGTCTACAACTGGAGGCATCAGAGGGAGGTTATGTTTTCACCCTGTGATGATTCGTTCATAAGCAGGTTATGCAAAAAATACAAAACGGATATCCTCAAAACTGCGGTGGAATAATGAGACGAGGGTCAAACAAGAACAAACATTAACATTTGGGGCTGATCCAAGATTTTCTTTTTTTACTTTTTCAACTTTATAGATAAGCTGCTTTTTTGACAGTTTCACCGATTTCCTAGAAATAACTCAGCTACAGAAAGTGTTGGAGAGTTTGAGCAATCAGTAGAATTAGAGGCGTTGACTTCTCTCAGGAATAATTTTTACACACTCATATGATGGTCAGCAGAAAGACAAGAGAGCTTTTCCACACTTCACAACCCCTGTTATAAACATATAATTTATTTTAATCAAATTATTCTGGCAGAAGCTTCATAACACCACAGCAATGTCTTCCCTTAAAAATAAATAATCTGTGACTCTGCTGTCGTTTGCTCGGTGTTTCTTTCCCCATTTGAGGAAGAACGAGGCTTCATCAAGCTTCTGGTTTTTTGCTTTCATGTAACTTTTGATGCCTCGCGCAGTTTCTAAAGGAAAAGTTTTTATCAAAAATGAAGCACCCCGCGGTGTCTGGTCTGTTCCAGGACTTCTGTCAGCTCCTTCTGCAGAGTCAGTGGGAGCTGTGCTGGTTGCCAGGCGACCCGTCGATGCATGTTGTCATTGTTCATTGTGTGCATGAGTCACCTGTAAGCCTTTGGCTGATAACAATCTAATGGCAAGTAGGAAATGGCTACCTGCAGCGGAGAAAAGTGCAGTAGGAGCTGATGGGGTTTTGTTGCTCTTGTATGTACGCAATGACACACACACACACACACACACTCTGTGAGTGGTGCATGCTGTTACAGCTACATTACACTGTAACTCCATCAAAGGTCAAAGTCACGGGCTCCTGGCTGAATGCTTATGTAAAAAACATACGTACACAATTGAAATGATCTTTAATTCATTTAGAGGTTGTGTTAATACATATGTACATGTGTACTTCAGGGATAATCAGGAACTTAACAGTTGAATGTGGTTGTAGCGTCTGTCTGCTGAGACTGAATGATTAATTATTGTTCCCTGAAATTAACGAGGAAACACACTTTATCAAACGTGGAACATTTTAAGCTTCACTCTGTAAAACCTCCTGCAGGAAAAAAAAATGATTGCTTAAAATTGTTGTTTACTTGTTCCTCAAGTGAATCTGAGTCGCTCAATATTTTTTGACCTTTTTAGAAAAGTATTTGTATTCGAAACTGACGGTGAGAGCAGTTTCTGCTTGACGAATCAATTAAGAGATGATACGATCGACAAACGGATGGATTAATTGTTGTGGACAAAAACATAATTTATTTACTCTAAGTGAGTGGGTGCAATTTGGTGTGATTCCAAAAAAACAATCTGGATCTAGTGGATTTGAATGTGGTTTCATAAAGGGACTGCTGGGCTTCGGCGGAGGCGGCGCTCCACTGGGTGCCAGTCTAGTTTTCACACTGTGAGCTGGGGTCCTCACAAAGGTGAACACGTTGTACAGTGTAATTCAAAGATCTTCCTAAATTGAATTTATCATTATAATTGTCTTTCAGAGTCTGGAAGCAGCTTATCTGGTTAAAAGGAGAGGAGATCTTTACAGTGAATTAAAGGGATTGATTTATCAGTAATCGGCCTCCGCTGGGTTAAATGACGGTGGGGCCACTGAGCAGCATGAGGAGATTAGACGTGTCTGTGGAGACGTCTGTGGAGGCTGAATGAGCACAGCCGTGGTGCTTAGTGGGAAAAAGAGACAAACAGAAACAACCTTTGTTTCTAACGAGTTTTTTTAAATTAATTAGTGATGAGAAAACACAGTGTTTGTCTGGATTTCAGCGTTCACTGGTTTCACACGGCGCAGCGAGCTAAAGAAATGTACAGACAGTCGGATCGTGTCAGTTTAACGACGCGTCAGTGGAGAGCGATAACACGAGCGGTGACTTTGCAGGTAGTTTCTCTCTGGTAGGTGGGAGCTGTGATCTGTGCAGTGTTGATGAGCCATATCACACTCAGTTTATAATTATGTCTCCAGTGATGTATGCTTATCTGCCCCCAGGACTTCACCTCGCTCACACAACACATGTACAACAATGTGATGAGAGGTTGTCGGGATCACGTGCGTGTTAATATGAGGTTTGAACTACGTCGATCAAATTGTCTCGTGATATGTCGTTTCATTTTTTAGAATTTGGTTTTTTTTCATCACGGATTGATTGACAACTGTTTTGATTTAATGATTACTTAAGAATGAGGATAAATATGATGCCATATTCTGAAATGAGGAAAAAAGGCTTTAAATGATTGAAACCCAGTGTTTGAATCCATACAAACATGATTTTGTATTTGATCTGTCCTTCTTCAAAACCACAGCTCTCTCTCTAGCAGGTTTAGATGTGGTTTCACAGGGGTTAGGCTCACTCAGATTCAGTCTCTGTGTATCTTCGAACTACGTCCAATCCAACGTGATGGATTTCAGGTGGAATTTAAAGAGAGTGTTGGGTTTTGACGTGTTTGCTCTTCTAGTGTGTGCAAGTAACATGAAGAAAGTTAGACTGTAACTAATTTACTTTAAAAGCCACTGAAGACAAGTTTCATCCATCTTATGAGAAGAAGCTGCAAGAAAAGCATCTTTCTACAGAACCAGCATGTGAAAAATGTCCAGAGCCACAAATCCTGCAGCCAACAACCCAACAGGAACACAGCCAACCCCAGTTTATTAAGAGCTTGGCAAACCTGCCTGTCTCTCTCCATACATGCTTGTGTACAGTCCCCGCTCACCACAGCAACACTGGGGCAGCAGCTGAGTCTGTTACACACATCTGAGGAACAGGCGAGGCTGAATCACTGCCTGTCACGTCAGGCCGAGGGAAACGCACTCACGAGCCTCTAATGCTGCTTCTCTCTGTACCTGTCGTCTGCCCCACGTCCGCTCCGTGTTCCACCTACAAAGCACGAGATGAAGCGTGCGGAAGAAAAGATGCTTGATATCTGTTTTTGTGGCTCTTGACTAATGGAGCTCTCAGCCTTTTTCTTTTTAAAGTGCGGCGCTTTAAAGGATGGCGCCCTTCACTTGGAAGCAGAGAGGTTATTCTCTCCCTGAATTAAACCCTGTTCACTGTCCTCATCCGGCAGCAACACTGGGCGGCATTTGTCATCGGGTGAATTAAATTTTGCTCCGCACGCCGAGGCTTCATCTTGATTTCAAAACAGGAATCTGAATTATTGACACAGCTTG